AATGAGGATGAGGTAATTTGAATAAAGAAAGAAACAAGGTTTTATTAGAACACATGTGATCTGTTGCCCCGGTATCAACGATCCATGAATAAAGTGGTTGTAAAAGAGATGATGATTTGTACACATTAGCAGCAAACTTCTTGAAAGAAAAAGTACCTTCAGATTCCATGGATCCATCCATAAGAGAAGTTTGAGCAGAAAAACTAGAAGAAGATGGATTGATATTGTTGTTTTGAAGAAGAATCATCAATTGCTGATATTGTTCTTGTGAGATGCTAGAATTGGAATCAACAACAGCATTCTGAACAGTGGATTTTGGTTCTTCACGTTTGGATTTGGTGAATTTGAAATTTGCAAGGAATCCATGGAGACGATAACACTGCGATTTGGTATGACTAGGCTTTTTGCAATGATTGCAAACCAACGATTTCTTGGACATAGAACTGTTTTCAACAGATGCATTCATGGCAATGATGTCGGTATTGATTGGAGTAGAAGTATTAATACCACGTTGTCGTTCCTCTTGAAGAATTAACGAGTATGCAGTGGATACAGTAGGAAGAGGCTTAGTCATGAGAATCTGACCACGTACAACTTTGTAAGAATCATCAAGGCCCATAAGAAGTTGAATGAGGCGCTGTTCTTCAAAAAATTGGTTAATCTTTGATGCAGCTTCACAGGAGCATGGAGGAATTGCTTGAACAAGACGCAATTCTTCCCAAATTCGAGTTAATTTGGTGAAATAGGTGGTGAAATCGTCTGAACCTTGAGAAGTCGAATACAGTTGTTGCTGAATTTGGTAAATCAAAGCGCCATCTGGTTGTTCAAACCTTTGGTTCAATTGAAGCCATATTTCTCGAGCAGTAGTCAAGAATAACACGCTATCAACAATGTTTTTGGATAGAGAATTCAAAATCCAACTTATCACCATAGAATTGGCTCAGGCAGAATACGAAGAAGAGGTAATTGCTGGTTCAGAAATTGTTCCATCAACAAAACCTAATTTGTTCTTGGCAGCTAACGATATGATCATTGATCGTTTCCAAGAAGCAAAGCCAATTCCATTAAAAGGATTGGTAATGAGAATAGAACTTGGATTATCAGAAGGAGCAATGAAAAAAGGATTAGATGAATCGATAGCAGAAGAAATTGAATCAGCCATGGAGAATCGAAACCTAATCTGATACCATGTTAATGTGAAAGAATGAGAGAAGTTTTTGTTTGAATTGATTCAGAAACTTGTATTCAATAACAATGAAGAATACATACATATACAGAAGAGAAGAGCAAACAGACTAACTAACTCATAATATAAGAATGACGAAAATACCCTTCTATCTAACTACCATCTAAAAACAGTTTATAACAACTTTTCTAACTGTAAAAATTAACAATTCGGCAGAATGGCTAATCAATCACTCATATGCATACGAACACATGCTGCCGGTCAAAAGCTTTAACTGCATTCATACGTTAGAGAACTGAGATTGACAAAAATCGTTACTGCAGTTTGAGCATTAGGGTTGAGAATTGAGCAACGATTTTGAGGTAAATTTGTACTTTTCTATTTAAGTTATGGAAATAATGTTATCTTATATGTGGTCCTGAGTCGATTCAATGAGAGATTTTGGATTAGTGTGGCTCAGTCGCCGGTAATTTTGACCACTCCCTTAGTTGGATGTTGAGCCTAAACGGGAAGAATTGAGGTTGTTGCACAGGTATTTGAGTAGCCAAGGGAGATTAAGGTAAATTTGAACCCTGCGTATACAATTTGTTTCATCAAGCGTATATGGAATTTGTAAATTCCAGTTTAGATCTTCATTGTCCATATCAATATATCTATTTTCTGCAAGAAGAATGTGAAAGCAAAATAAATTCAATTTATTCCCATTGAGTGTTAAAAGTGAATCCATAGGTGTGTCATACGATTCATATCTCTAATTCTTTTTAAAATTCAGATTTATGAACGGTTCCTTCAAATAGCAATAAGCAATGCAAGCAAAGATCAATTCCTTCTTCAAGCCCTGTTTGTCTTCTACAACACAAATCTTGCATTCTCTTACTATATCAAGAAACACTTTTTTAAGTCAAACTTTATTGATGATGTGATGTTTATTTCAAGAAAACACTGTGAATCTTAAAAATGCCAAACATGGCTACAACAATGAGAATCTTCAAACATATGCATCAGGGTTTTTGAGGAGATAGCCTTCCACAACCTTGTAAAGCCCTAAAACCTTTTCTTTTCCTGCATTTAGTTCTTCTTCCTTGAGCTCAAAATCACCATGGGTGTAAATAGTTGTGGTCATTTTCGCAATGGTGCCATTATCAGGTGATCCCTCAAACTTAATATCATACGACACCTTTTCAATCTTGTCTGATATGCCCATACCTTCAATCAAACTATACTTGTATGTGAATGTCTTCTCATTCACTTCATCTATTTCGTGCTTCACAAAACCTACATACCAGAATTAAATTAAAGACAATTATCTAACCATATTAATAGATATTGGAGTGTAGATATAAGTTTACCTCCGGCAAAGTTAATCTGCTTAATGCTTCCAGCCCCACCGTCACCTTTGATAAACTCAACACTTTTAATAGCATCAGGCAAGAGTTTTGGCATCAAATTGTGGGAGTCGATAATTGAGGCCTTGAAAATTCTTGATGGAGGGATGGTGGAAATGTGTTCATCGGTATACGTCAAGACACCCATGGTTTTTGAAGGCTAAAAGATTGTTAATTGCTGATTTTGAGAGTGTTGTGAGTATGGAGATTAAATGATGATGTGGGTATTTATAGGTTGAAGCTAGAGAAACGGTTTTGAGTACATTTGAAATTGGTAGAGCTTTGAGGGGTTGTATTTTGTGCAAGTGTAATGGTACCTTGCATTGGGAAAGTCATCTATTTGCCAAAATTCTATTTCTTGTCCACATTTCAAATATGCTCAGGTATTAAACCTTGTTAATCAAACAAAATCAAGAATAATCTCACTAAAAACAAAGTATGTGAATGTATTGATTAATTTTTTTTGAATTTGAAATGGCATATCCTTAATAGATACAAGATATATCATTGTATGATCGCATGATGCAAATGGATCGTGATTCAAGAAAGCAGACATGAGATATAGAGTTCCTTAGGCTGGAGGGAGTGGTGCCACTGAAACCGCACTCCCTCCTATGCCACGTACAACTCATATTTTTTCTTATTTCATCAATTTAAAACCGCTACGTACAACTCATATTTTTTCTTATTTCATCAATTTGAAACCGCAATGGGGGAGTGAGAAAATAGTTAGGAGAGAGAAAATAAAAGAAAAAGAAAGAAAGATGATTGGTTGAGAGAGGAGAGAGAGAGCAAGTAAAAGAGAAGAGAGAGAAAGGGGAGTGCACCCCTGGAGGGCTGCAGTGCGGCCGAGACCGCACCCAGGGGGCGGTGTGCATGATGATGTGGCAGGAGGCGCTCCCTAGACCGCACCACTCCCTCTAGTCTTACAGATTTCAGTTCACCATGTGAGTATGTTATATTTTTCTACATATTTGTCTCACTAATCCATTTTATAATCTTCATATGCTTAAGCTTAAGGTAATTATGTAATCTTAAGGTAGAAAACAAATCTTATGTTGGGAAATTTAGACCTTCTTTTAGAGTGTTCTCAAATCAGGAGATACAAATTCAAATACCCGTTTTAAAGGAACGAAAATACAATAATTTTAGTAGAACAATAATTGTATACGCCCAAATTTCAATTTTACACATTACACACAAATCTAATAAATATTACAATATATGATCTTGGCGAGGTATCAAGAATCATACAATACAGCCATATGAATTTTCAATACGAACACAAGAATGAACACTTTACGAAATTTACCCCTGCCAATAATTATAAAATTACTTAATCACCCGAGTAAAAAAAAAACTTATTTTAACTAACCCTAGCTAACGGTGAACCACTATATCCAAAACTACCACGAACAACTTTTGCTCGTGTAGTCCTCTTCTTCATTGTCTCCTTATCCAATCTCCCGCCAATTTTATTCCCAAAAGCCGGTAAACCTTGACTGACCTTTTTGACTTCATCCCTATTAGCACCTCCATTAATAAGTATTCTTATAACTCCAGCGTAATTCAACGAATCCGCAATTTGCATAGCTGTCACACCGTTATTGGTTCTCGCCTTAACATCCGCCCCTTTCTTCACCAACAACTCAAGAACATCAACATTCCCAGATTCAACTGCACAATGCATAGCAGTGTACCCATCTTCATCTCTCGCATCAACGTTAACACCTTTTTCAATCAACACCCGAACCACATCCGTATGCCCTTTAAACGATGCCCGGTGCAACCCCGTCCACCCATGCTGATCCACCCCGTTAATGGCGGCCCCACCTTCAAGTAACCGATTAATCGCTCTCACCTCCCCTTTCCTCGCCGCCACACTCAGCCTATCGCCCAACCGGAGCACATCAAACAACCGCGTGTGCCCATGCTCCGCCGCCACGTCATACGCCGTTTTACCTAATTTGTTCTTAATGTCCTTATTACCCCCCTTTTGTAATAGAAGCTTCACCATGTTATCGTCTCCGAGAGCGGCGGAGATGTGTAACGGGGTTTCGTTATCGGAATTTCCGATATGGACCTTTGCTCCGGCGGCCAAGAGGATGCGAGCACAGTCTCGCCGCCGCTCCTCCACCGCCAGGTGTAACGCAGTGTTTCCGTCTTTCATAAGGGAGTTCACGTTCGCGCCTCGGAGTAAAAGAAGCTTCAAAACATCCACATGACCACCACCAGCGGCTAAATGAACCGCACCCCATGTGGATGACTCGAACCGCTCGATGCTAGCTCGGTGAGCCAGTAATAGCTCGACAATCAAGGTCTCACCCGAGCTAGCCGCGGACTCGAGTGGGGTCGACCCGGACCAGTTTCGACACTCAACGTCCGGGTCGAACTCGAGTAACACCTGGACTAAATCGGGTCGACTTTTGGAAACCGCTAAATGGAGTAACGATTGACCTTCCGAGTCAACCGAGTCGACCGCGTTCCAACTCGGGTCACTCTTTTCTAAAACCTCGCGAATTTCATCTATCGACCCGTTCTTCACAAGCCGGGTCATCACCATCGACCCGACAAACATGACCCGTATCGCGCTATCCACAAAAACTTGTTTTTTACGCGTTGTGAACCAATCGCTCGGGACCGAATCATGGGTCGAGGTCGGGTTTTTAGCGGATGCACCGGGGACCACGACACTGTGTAGCAAGAAGGAGTCGTCAGAGTAAGGAAATGAGCCACCCCTGGGGAGAGATGAATCTTGAAAATCGTATGTGATTTCGATTGTAACGGTTGTTAGTGGGGAAATGATCCCGGATTGTGGACGGATAGTGTAACGGGATTTGTTCATTGGTTGTAAACGGAAAGCTACGGGCATTGTGTACATGACATTTCGTAATGTGAGTTGACCATAACACCTTTGACCTTGTTCGATCCGTATTGCAACCACATTTGATGGCTCTAATGTTATTAACCTGTCCATGGTGTTCTAAGTTCTAATGGTGGTTTTGTAAAGATGGAAGAAGAAAGATTTGTGGAAAAGAGTTTGAGTGGTATGTAAATACAAGGGTTACTTTACTTAGAAGAGTGCCGGCTATCATTAGGGATGCTTTCCAATTCCAAATGGTGGTGGAAATAACAATGTTGAATTGTTGTATTAGGTGTACCTTTTGTTCCATATATGTCACTTTCATCAACGTGTGTTGTACTTAGTGGTGGATGCGAGGTTTTTTATTAGGGTGTGTGCTTTCATTAAGGATATATATTTGTTTGTATACGTATTATAGCATTTTGTTTTTGTTTTTTCTTTCTATTGTAACATTCTATTGCTGTGTACTCTTAATATTTGATGTTGGGTGTCATTTTGATAGTCATAATAAATGTTTTTTTACGACTGCTTTTCTATATTATTTTGCATATTTAATAAAATTATTCAATTGATAGAAATTAATAAAAATTTATGTTTATCTAATATATAATTATAGTCACTTTAAGCGGATAATTGGGATATCACATATCATAGTGGACGCAATGTTAATATCATGTAGACTTATACAAACAAATTATTTTCATATCTCATGCCACATTTGACATATGACTCAGTATCAGTTTATCGGGTTCAAATCTACATTTATAGTGTAATGAGAACAAAATAGTACCCTATTGAATACAATTTAAAAAAATGTGTATTATTCATTTGTTGACATTAACCCAATCAGATAGACCAATAAGAAGTGGGAAAAAATGTTTGAAGAACAATAAAAAAAGAAAATCACCTAATACATTTTGGAAACTAATTGAAAAAGTATTAAAAAAAAACCTCCTATTACAAGTGCTCCCTGTTTGTTGAGTCGAATATTTAATTTGTATCTTCTTGGGTATCATTATATATTCGAGTCCTTACGATGAAAATGATGGGTGATTTTGAAGATTTTTGGAATTGAAAGCCAACCTAAGTGACAAAGGTTGGGTCAAAAAATAGGTTAAAACTTGGGGTATGATGTCATAGTTTTTGTTATAGATATTTGAGACACTTGTTTTGTATGTGATGTGGTGGGATGTCAAGTCCACCAAGCAAATTACACCATTTGTTTGCAAATAAAACGTAATATAATGGTAACAAGGGGTATCGATCCTCAGGGAAATGGTTGTATTCAATCACCAATGCAATCAAATAGAACTAGTGTAAATAAACTAGCTAACTACAATTAAACTAAAAAGGGGGGTGTTATGATTGCTTGAAAACTAAAAGACTTGAATAACTAGAAAACTTGCAATTAAGCAAGGTGATGAGATGCTCAAATATTGGAGAGAATTGGTTAACCAAGGTAATTCAACACAATGAACATTTGTGTGTTTATCATTAGGATTCAATAGGAAGCTTATCATTCATCTCAAATTGGTTATAGCAATCATGAAGCATGATATGCCAAGATTCCTCATAAATTATATGGAGGTTGGGGAAGCCCACAACACACCTTCTTAATCAAAATCAAGGATCCAATTGAAGCAATTGAACCCAAGAAGTTGATTAGCCTTAAGAATGAAGGAATCCCCAATTCCTAGAGGATGTCAATGCTTACACATCCATAAAGGAGTTATGATTCATAAGCTAGAGATGATTTCTACCATCATAAAGTTATTGTTCTAAGTAAATTCAATGATTCAATGCTAAACCAAAGAAAGAAACCAACAATTGCTTATTCAAGTACCAAGCTCATGATCAAAGCATTAAACAAGCATATGAAATATGAACTAGAATCATAGACATAAGATACATGATAAATAAACATGAATCCTTCAAAAACCCACAAACATTCAAAGGTTTTAGCCAAGGTTGACCAAAATAGAGAATTTAGCCACTCATTGCAATAGAATAACAATCACAATAGTCTAATTGCATCAAGAAACTAACAATTACTTTGGAAGATAAGAAGAATATGTATCCAAACTCCCAAAATCGCCTCCTCTGGTCCCTAATGGTGGAAAATCAAAGTCATAGCTGAAAGATCCAACCCCCAAAGTAAACGGTAAGCCAAATGACTAAAATGCCCAAAACTGGGCAGTTGCGCGGGTACCCGCGCACGTGAGAATCCACCCGCGCAAATATTGTTGGAATGTTATTGGCTCATTTTTCCTCCACTGACCATCCCACTACCAAAGATTCTCTTGGTCCCCTCCATATCCCACATGATTCAAATTAATCAATCATCTTTTAGCTTCAAATATGGATACTCCGAGCCCAAAATAACAATCCATGATCCATCTTCACAAGCCCACTTCATCCAAGTCTTTAGCTTTTTTTAAGCCCAAATCTCTTTTAATGGATCCATAAAGCCCAATAATGCCTTGGAAGCCCACAAAGCCGATTTCAAGTTAATCCACAACCGCAACAAGCTCCAAAACCCTACAAAATTTCTCATGCAAAATAGAAAGTCCCCGATACGATCCATGATAAAGAAAAATAAAGAATATACAATGCAATACTAATAAAAAGAGCTAAAAATACTAAAATAAACTAATAAAAATAAGGAAATAAAATAAGTTATCATGATGTTTCATTGTTTCGATTGTAATCCAAAATGTTAAAAAAAGATAATTCCAATGAAGGGACTGAATTTGTAAACTCATGCAAAGTAATGGGGCCCATCCCTGAATATTGTGGATTTTAGGGATGAACATTTGGATCGGGGAACCGGCCGGAACCGGTATCGAAACCGGAATCGGATAGAACCGATCGGGCCGGGACGGGACGATATTTTTGTGGGTTTTTGGAACCGGGAACCGGTAGAACCGGCAAAAACCGGTAGAATCGACAAAAACCGGAACCGTATGTTGCTATTTCTCGAGGACCGGTTCAAACATTGAAGACACGTCAAGAACCGAGAACCGGTAGAATCGGCGGTTCGGTTCGGTTCTTAATTTCGGCCGACTTCGGTTCCCGGACCGGTTCTAACCGAGTCGGTTCCTTTGCTCATCCTTAGTGGATTTGGAATTATAATATCCACATTTTATATTTGGCAAAAGAGACGAAACTATTGTCCTATATTTGTCAGATACATATTTGGAACAAAGTATAATATCAAACTGGGGGAGTAATGAGGCAATTTTTACAATTTTTCACATCTAAAAGTGTTGGGATTCACTATTTTTTTTTAAAAAAAAAAACCTTATATAAACCCCATATATAATCTGATTTTGGCAAATATATATAAAAAAAATTATTTTCTAAAAACATAAAATAAAAAAATAAATCAATATATATTTATTTTTATGGTATGCGTTAATCTGTTTGGGACAAATTAAAACATTCGTTTTCTAGTAAATAAACCGGACTCTATAAGGCATGTGTTTTCAAAACTTACATGCTTCAGTTTCAAATCTACAAACCGACTATTTTTATTACTATCTGAATAAGTATTCCTACTAGATGTTTGTGGCAGATGTTACGATACGCCGGTTCTTAATGTGAGTATGGAGTTTCAAAATGTTTTCTTCAATTCCTCATAGTTTATATCTTAAAAATCATATATATCCAGCAAAGGGAATGATAAGTGTGAAGTTTTTCAATTGGGTGTGATTTTAAAGGCATAAGGATGTGAAGTATAAATCATGTAAATGTTGTATATTCAATTATATAGGGAAGATATAATAGTATATGGTGTATGGTTTAGATATTTGAGTGAAATATGGTTTTTCATGTATCGTATTGATATTCTAGAAAGTTTTCACCCGAGTATGTTTAGTTACATAAAAATAACTTGTTTTCCGGAAAACAATTCTATGAAACTTGAAAAGTTTTCAAAGGAAATGAGAATTCTTTTGTTTTCCAGAATTACAAAAAACTTAGAAAACTAATCATTATTGTTTTCCATACTTTTTCAACTTCAAAAGTTTTCTAAATATAAACACATACACATACACACCCATCCCCACCCACATCCACACCCCACCCCCCGCGATAAATAGTTTTATGTAATTAAAAGAAGCCTTAGGTCTTGCAAACCCTTGCGTATGATAAATAGTTTTATGTAATTAAAAGAAGCCTTAGGTCTTGCAAACCCTTGCGTATGATACATATGTATATGGTTCATATTTTACTTGAGTTTAAAGTAGATTATTTGCATGGTCCAAATCCTAACACTTCGGTCTTGCAAGAATCCTAACATACCATAAGTATGAAAAAACGAATGACAGAAACAATGACTTGTGTGACGTTGTGAATTGATGACTGGAATTTTGTTAAGCAAATAATCTGCATTGCATTCTATTATGAGAAACACTATTTAATTCAAAATTTAATTTTATCTATTCAGCATGTGGTATGAAAATGCATTGCTTTTCAAGAGTGATATTCAGTGTGAAAGAAGGAAATGGGTTTTTGTTTGAAATATATAACATACTGATTTTATATATGCATATATGATGTCTACAATGGCGGATTTAGTATATATCCCGGGGTAGTCCGGGATACCCCTCAAAAAAAATTCAGTAGTGTAATTTTTTCCTGAATTTTTTTTCTTATTGTGTATTATGCGATTTTTTTTGTTAGGAATGCCCTTCACTTTGATCTGGATCCGCCATTGAATGTCTAGCCCCTAACATGATATTTTGACATGATGTGTGAATAGTATGATCGTGAGAAATAGCATGTGGTGAGAAATTTTAAAAGACATTAGTTCTAATCATGGATCCAGAAAAAATATTACTGGGTCCATCTTATATAAAAAAAATAAAACAAAATTTTCAAAGCAGAAAAAATCTGAAATTTTAAGGTTTTTTGAAAGTTTTTTCTGCTAAAAATATTATAAAAATAGGTTTTTTCAACAATAGTAGGTGCCAAAAGGGATAATTTCAACAAAAGATTAATTTTTTAAGGATTGTTTTAATAAAATGAGGTTAGTATCAACTTTCAAGTGGGGTCTCCCTTACTACACCGTTGCTCCGCCACTCGTTCTAATGTATTGGAAATAGATAGAAAAC